GAATAAGTCGAGCCGAATTGGCCTATGTCCAAAGTTGACGTGCATCCACCCATGCCTAGAGTCAATTTGGGTCTAAAGTCAATCTGGGTCTAAAGTCAAATTGAGTTCACTTGAGTTAAATGTCAAGACGAGTGGCTTTGACCTAAAGGTCGAGACAAACGAGCATAGGAAGGAGCTTAAGTCAAGTTATCTTAAGACAAAGGTTGAACCAAATTGACACGAGTTGAAGGCTAAGCTGAATTAGCCTAAGTTGAAGATCAAGCTGATTCGGCTCGAGACAAAGGGTGGAGCTTAGTCATCCTAGGTGTATTGTATGACCAACTAGTTAACCTAGGATCAAACGGTCGACGGAGTCAAGAACGTCAACGAGACCACCCAAAGACTGAGCGGGTGTACCATACAGATCGAACGGTCACCCTTGAACAACAATTAGACTTGATGAATATTAGTTTGCATCAAAGCATGATTAACACCAATTAGGCCTTTATTAGGTTGTCAATAATCCAAAGCTCATCCAAAAATCTATAAATACAAGTTTGAAGTAAATAGGTAGGTGATTACATTTATCACGCACAACCGAAACATTTTGGCACCCACAATAGGGCATAATAGAGAAGAATGAGACCCTTTGCAAAAAGATAAAGGAGCTTATATGAGCATGTCATCTCCAACAGTATATTAAACTCGATCGTCTGAAGAGAAGACCTTGGCTCGAGTGTGGAATTTGTATGTTGATGAGTCGTCATATAAGAAAGGGGAGGAGCTGGAATTGTACTTGAGGGACCAAACGACTGTATGATTGAACACTCCTTAATGTTTAAGTTTAAGATTTTGAATAATCAGGTCGAGTATGAAGCTTTAGTCATCGGCCTGGCTTTAGCGAAGGACCTGGGTGTCTAGTAAGTGAAATGTCGGACGGACTCACAACTCGTCGTCGGGCGATGAATAAAGAGTTCCAAATAAAGGACGATTAACTCCTCCAATACTTCCACAAGACTACGAAGCTGATGAAGAGTTTTGAGGATGTGGACTTCAGGCATATCCTACACGGGGAGAACGCTCGGGCAAACATGTTGTTAAAGCTAACAAGCATAAATGAAAAGGGATAGTTGTTTACGATAATCAGACAAGTCCTAACCATGCCCAACATAGAATGCTTGTCTAGGTCCTCAAACGAATGAAAGGATTGGAGGGAAGAGATCAAGCTACTTATGGAGAAGCAAGACGATAGGGAGGCTATCAGTTTTGTCGAGGCCAAAAAGATTGCTCGGTACATCTTTGTGGGAGACGACCGTTATTGAAAGTTTTCTCCACTTCATAAATGATTGTAAAATATGGTTGCTCTTAACATGTTATTCATAATGTACACTATAATGTTTGTAAAAACTTACTTTGTTGAATAATAAATATTTAGTGCGAAAGATTCTTGTATGTAGAAATAAAAATGTAGCTGCAAGTTTTATAAGAGAAGCGTTTAGACAAGAGAGAAATAACAAATGGATAGATATTTTTATACTAGTTCACTCTAACTAAGCTACGTCCAGTCTCTTCTATAGAGGTTTCCACTATAATCTTTAATAAGATTAAAACTGAGTATTCGCATCACTCTTTGTCTTCTCAATCAGTAAATAACCTATTATTACCCTAGACTAGATAAGTATTCACACCACTCTTGGTACTAAGCAATATTGCTTATATTTCCTTAACTCAACCGAGCTAAACAAGTGTTTTAATTCTCTTTAGAATTGCAATCAACGATTGCTTACAAGTCGTTCAAACTATTACTCTCGCAGAGAGGACGTGATTACAATACAATGCAGTTTTAAAACTCACATATGTTTCTCTCATTTCTTTTTCTCTCTTTCTAATAATCAGTAAGCAAAACTTACAATGAAGCTCAAGTGTATTTTTTTTCTTCTTTTCTCTTCTCTTTTTTTACTCAAATATTCTCTTTTTCATGAGCTCTTTCTATGCTTTTCTTTTGAACTCTTCTCAAAGGATGAATATTTTCATTGTATGTTATCGTATTGATTCTTCATCCGAATGATCTTCTTTTAAAGGCTCTTGGATGAGTTTCCGTTAGACTAACCTATTGGCCTTGATTCTTGTGTCTTCTCTTTATTCGTGTATAACAGTCTTCTTGGGAACAACATGGACCGGGCTCACCCACTGACTATCTGATATTGGGTAGATGATCCCAGCTTGCAAAAGCTTGGTCACCTCCTTCTTGATGACATTCATAATCACAGAGTTATGTCTTCTCTGTGGTTGCCTAACTGGCTTTGCTCCATCCTTCAAAAGAATTCTATGCATGCAAGTGGATGGGCTGATACCAGGGAGGTTAGCCAAGGTCCAACCAATGACCTTCTTGTGCTTTCTCAGCATACTCAATAACTTCTCCTCTTGAAAAACATCAAGGGAGGTGGAAATGATCACAGGCTTCTTCTCATTATCCTCCAACTATGCATACTTGAGGTTGTTTGAGACTATTTCAGCTTAGGAGTGGGTGCCTGTAAATCAGATTCATTTGTATTTCCTGCAAGGTTGTTAGTGCATTATGACTCTAAAGAATTCACATGTAAAGGCACAACACCAATCTCATTAGACTCAACAACAATATCAATGACACATACATCATAAACATCATGAACATCCTCAATATCACAATCCACATCAAGATCCACATCAAAATCAACTTCATATTTTACATCATCAACAGATCCTGATTCAAATTCAAATTCAGATTCAATGCATGTATGCAAAGAAGATAGAAAAGAATGTTCTTTATGATGCAAAGAATCAAACTCATTCAGCAATATATTTCTCAACAATATCATCCAGAATATCAATCCTAAAGACAAAATGGTCCTTAGCTGGAAACTTCATGGCATCAAGAATGTTAAAATGAACACAAATATCACCAGCATACACATCAATTTTGGTTTGGGTTGTTTTCAAAAATGGCCTGCCTATAATGATGGGAGCAGATACATGAGAGAATCCTTCCTCCATCTCCAAAACATGAAAGTCAGCAGGGAAAATCAATTCACCAATCCTAACAAAAACATCATCTATGTAACCTGTTGGGTAGGCAACACTTCTATTGGCCAATTGAATGACCACACTTGTAGGTTGTAGAGGACCAAGAGATAAAGATTTATATATGGACAAAGGCATCACATTAATGGAGGCACCCATATCAAGCATGACATTTTCAAACTTACTATTCTCAATCACACAAGGGATGCAAAATGTACCTAGGTCCTTGCACTTTTTAGGAATATACGGGACAGATTTATCGATAAGTGCATATACATTTCTACCCATGATGATCCTTTCATCTCCTTTCATTTTCCTCTTATGTGCGCACATCTCCTTATGGAATTTGGCATACCTTGGAATCTGTTTGATTGCATCTAGTATAGGTATGTTCACCTCTACTTTCCAATATTTTTATATCTACCTCTTCAATCTTTTTGCTTGGAATGCCTTTTGGAGGGAATGGAAGAGGTATCAGACGGTGCAAGGTAGGAGATGCACTAGTGGTGGTGATGAAAGAAGAAGAAGGTCCACCTGAAGAAGAAGAAGAACCACCCGAAGAGGAAGAAGAAGGACCACCTGAGCCTTTCCGACCTAGGGAACGCTTTCGTAGCTCCTAGAGTCGGATAGGAATGCTTCCGTAGCTCTGACCTGAGCCTCTTCGACCTAGAGAACATTTTCGTAACTCCTAGTGTCCTCCGCTTGGTGTAGAAAGTAATGAAGACCTAAAGTGCATCAAAAATAGACTCCCTAGTACAACCTGAACGACTTCTCTTAAGCTCATAATAATCCCTGCACACCTCTTCCAATAGTCATTGATTGACAATTAATAGGAATAATTTCATTTATTGGTAGTAAATGAGTCAGACCTAATGGTAAGCTTAATATAATATTATAAATACATGTCTGATGAAAAAGGCAGGTAATTCAACTCTGATTACTCATTCTTATTATAAAATTTATTGAGTAAATCACTAACTTGAGCGTCGGAGTGTCTTCTGCAAACACTCTCCCCACGGCTAGGACACAGAAAAGAGAGAGAACAACGTAACCCAGATGATGGAGCAAACAACTTTGAATGCTTTGAGTAAGAGATCTCAACCCTACTGAAACAATAAATAATTTTTATAATTTTATGTAGATAATTATTTATTTATTTTGTTGGTTAAAAAATAATCAAATTTTAAAAAAAGGCAATTTTTTAAAATAATTAAAATTTTAAAAAATATAACTTAAAAAGTAAATTTGTTAAGAATTTATGCATATACAAAGAAAATAAAGAAAAAAATTATTATTAATGTTATAGATAATATATTTATATTCATAAAAACCATATGGTAACAAATTTATATTATAGTTATTAATCATAAAAGTATATAATTTATTGATAATGAAAGAGAATATTAAAGTTATAAATATGAAAATAAGTAAAGCAATTTTTCATAATACATGCCTCGTTATTTAACATTTAATTAATATAATATGTTTAATATATTTATGAACAAAAAAGCTGTAATTTTAAATGATATAAAAAATTCAAAATATGTCTTTTAATATAAAAAATTTAAATATATCTCTTTATTTTTTTATTCTAAAATGTTTAACAATTGTTATAAAAATTAACTTGTTTTAGCTTGATTAGATTTTATATTAAATTAAAATGGAGTGATATTTAACTTCATTATTTTTTTGGAATACTTTTTTAATGTAAAATATAATGAAATTGAGATAGAAACGACTTAATTAAAACACTAGTGCAATCGGAGGAAACGACAGCGGTTATTTTCGTTAATAAACACCAGTTTTTAAACTGAGGCATATTCAGACGAGGTAAAAAGTGATAGACTTTATGCATCGATTCAGAACCGAGTCATAAAAATAGTAAGATTATGCCTCGGTTTAAAATTAACTGAAGTAGTAACATTTTTTATTTTTTTAAATATTTTTTTTCGCTGGCCTTTATGCCTCGGTTCCTAACCGAGGTCGTTTCTCTCCCTCTCCTGAACCCCCATTTCCTCTCCTACCTTTCCCTCGTCGAGAACCAATTTTTCGGCCCAATCCCCGCCTCCTTCTCTGCACTCTCCGCCCTCCGCCATCTCAACCTCTCCAACAACGCCTTCAACGCCATTGTCCCCTCCAACCTCGCCCGCCTTGCTAATCTCCAAGTCCTTGATCTCTACAACAAAAACATGACCGGTCCCTTCCCCCTCGCCATCGTCGCCATGCCCCTCCTCTGTCATTTTCACCTCGGCAGCAACTTTTTCTCCGGCCAGATCCCTCCCAAGTATGGCACCTGGCAACACCTAACGAACTCATGGGAAACATCTCCCGGAGCTTGGAAACCTCACCGCGCTTCGCGAGCTCTACATTGGCAACTACAACGCTTACTCCGACGGCATCCCGCTGGAGATTGGAAACTTGTCCCAGCTTGTCCGTTTCGACGCCGCGTATTGCAGACTCTCCGGCGATATTCCGGCTGACCTCGGAAGGCTTCAGAATATGGACATGCTCTTTCTTCAGGTGAATGCGCTCTCCGACTCGCTCACTCCTAAGTTGGGGAACCTGGAGAGTCTCAAGTTGATGGATCTGCCCAACAAAGTTCTCTCCGGCGAAGTTCCGACGAGTTTTGTGGAGCTCAAGAATCTAACTCTGCTTAGAGCTACAGCTCCTCCTTCTTTGTTTGTGATATGCGTAATCACTTTCACGGGGTCATCCATTATGCAACATAACCACTGTTCATGAAACTGAAATATATTTGTAAATGAGTGAAGCACGTGTTGGTGGAGGTGCAATTAATAAAAGAGGAAGAGGAAGTAGCTTTATTATTTTTTAGGATTAGGAGTGGATGAAAGAAAAGTTGCAGGCGGTGGAATATGGGATGGGATGGGATGTGACATTGTCAGGGATGAAGGAAAAGTTGCTTGCACGCGGATTCATGCCATTAATATATTCCCATCTTAGGNTTCGGCCCAATCCCCGCCTCCTTCTCTGCACTCTCCGCCCTCCGCCATCTCAACCTCTCCAACAACGCCTTCAACTCCATTGTCCCCTCCAACCTCGCCCGCCTTGCTAATCTCCAAGTTCTTGATCTCTACAACAAAAACATGACTGGTCCCTTCCCCCTCGCCATCGTCGCCATGCTCCTCCTCTGTCATTTTCACCTCGGTAGCAACTTTTTCTCCGGCCAGATCCCTCCCAAGTATGGCACCTGGCAACACCTAACGAACTCATGGGAAACATCTCCCGGAGCTTGGAAACCTCACCGTGCTTCGCGAGCTCTACATTGGCTACTACAACGCTTACTCCTACGGCATCCCGTTGGAGATTGGAAACTTGTCCCAGCTTGTCCGTTTCGACGCCGCGTATTGCAGACTCTCCGGCGATATTCCGGCTGACCTCGGAAGGCTTCAGAATATGGACATGCTCTTTCTTCAGGTGAATGCGCTCTCCGACTCGCTCACTCCTAAGTTGGGGAACCTGGAGAGTCTCAAGTTGATGGATCTGCCCAACAAAGTTCTCTCCGGCGAAGTTCCGACGAGTTTTGTGGAGCTCAAGAATCTAACTCTGCTTAGAGCTACAGCTCCTCCTTCTTTGTTTGTGATATGCGTAATCACTTTCACGGGGTCATCCATTATGCAACATAACCACTGTTCATGAAACTGAAATATATTTGTAAATGAGTGAAGCACGTGTTGGTGGAGGTGCAATTAATAAAAGAGGAAGAGGAAGTAGCTTTATTATTTTTTAAGATTAGGAGTGGATGAAAGAAAAGTTGCAGGCAGTGGAATATGGGATGGGATGGGATGTGACATTGTCAGGGATGAAGGAAAAGTTGCTTGCACGCGGATTCATGCCATTAATATATTCCCATCTTAGGTCTCGGTTCTGTATTGACCGAGGCATAAACCTCTTTTGACACCGGTTCAGTACAGAACCGAAGCACTAGATCACGTGTCAGGCCAAAACTCAATTTTGCAGAGGCGCGGGGTAACTTTTTCAGAAAGTATTAGGCACCGGTTATGATTTGAACCGAGGTAAAATGCTCTATATGCTTCGAATATTCTTAAACCGTTGCATATAAGTTGGTGAAAACTACAAGATTGCCACCGCTTTTGAATATGCTTCGGTTTTTCTTTGACCGAAGCCTATTAGGCGAGTTCAAAAGCATATTTTTTACTAGTGAAAGCTTCAGAATATTTTGGTGAATAACGTTGAATTGAAGCAATTAAGTTTGAATTGTGTTGTCCCCAACAAACGAACACACTTTCCAATAATCTCACAGCACAAGTAGAAATTAATTGCATCAAACGCCACCATACAAACTTATAAATAAAATAGATGGAAGAGTGAAGCGAGCTTCGCGTGTAATTTTTAGATCATAAAATATGATAAGGTCACGTGAGTATATAAAAAAGTCTTAACATTCAACAAAGGTTCACGTCTCTGGTTATCCCTGCAACATCACTCTTGTTAATATCACTTTTTTTTATATAAATTATATGAGCAAATGTGTCTAGCTAGTATATATTAACACTTTTATTGTTTTTTTATGTGATGTGAAAATGTTTCTTATTTGTGAATTTTTATTGCTAAGTTGTTTTTTACATTAACTCACCTTGTTTATTTGTTGTTGTAGTTTTCACTTGAGATGACAATGTGACTTATATTATGCGCGAGCAGAATGTAGCACAAATATAGGCCAGGATGCACAGTAGTGAAGAGTAGGGGAATGGCTTCGGGAATATTTTATTACTTATGTTTTCAAATCTATTTTGGATTAGTATTTTAATTTGAAGGAATGTTTTAGAACAAACATGTTAAAGTACCTTTGCATGTAGGGTATGATCCCTATAGATTAACCATATACCAACATATTTCAGTTTGAAGTTCGGCTCATAGAGTAGCTTTTCCACTTTTCTAACTCCTTTATACACCAAGTCTCAGTCGTCGTAGTAGCAGTTGTCCACTCTAGGACACCCAGTGGCTTAAGCTATGGTTTCAATGTTGATAATTACTTTTTGGCCTAGCACTTTTGAAATAATTTTTTCTTTTCCTCTTAGTTCCATACTGGTCTAGAATTGATGAATTAGTTCAGGAAAATTAGGATAATCTCATTCAAAAATTAGTGAATCCTACAGCGATGTATGTCACACATTATGTCGTAATAGTGAATTATCAGGTCCTTAAGGTCAACATAATGTTCCAAGTAGATTTCGATCGCTTTACCTATGGGTGGAGGTAGAGTGGATGCCCTTCTCACACTAGGGAATACTTCATCAAGGGTGATGACTTCTTCTGATTGAGTAGCCATGATTTTTTAGAGATTCTTGAAAGCTTTGGGAAATTGAGGTTTTTGAGAGTAAGGTTGTGGTGACTTGGGAAACGCGAAGACTAGGGTTTTGGTAACTTGAATAATACGAAGGGTTTTGGTTTAGCGATTGTTTTGAGAGATAAGGGTAGGATCAGGAAATTTTATTTGTCAGAAACTTTGAAAAAAGTCATCATTACTTATTTTAATGAGTCCTAAGTGACATATCATAACGTGGAAAGTTAAGTTCTAAGTGGAATTCTACTTTGAATGATGTGTCATAAACCAGGCTACTACTTTTGTTAGATGTGGTTTATGTCTATACTTGTGATAGTCTCTAGACGAATTGTCTTAGACGAAGTTATGTATCACATTATTCTGGCTACTTGTCCTAAACATTTGATTCTCTAGTCGTTGAATGAACACACTAAAGCATGTTGAGTCAAATTCATTCAATGATTCACATATCAAAAGAATGAGATCAATTGAGTGATATCTTTCTATTATTATTTTTGAGAGCTCTATGAGTTGTGGTTAAAGCGTTTAATTGAGTTTAGTGTTTCCTAAACGGTAAAAGTGTCTAGACGCTTGCTTAGTATTAATCGATTTTCACCTTTTAGGATGTGTTCTAATGTGTTAAGCATAAGTAGTTAGATTACATGCACTTATGTGTGTGAGTGTGTGTGTATATACACACACACACACACACACACACACACACACACACACATATATATATATATATATATATATATATATATATATACACATATATATATACATACACACACCAAGCAAAGAGCAACTGATGTTATACAGGAAGTTATTTTACAACAAAGGATGGTAAGTGTACCTTTTCTTTCAAGGCTTCTGATTTTGCCTCGCGACTTCATTATTCTGGAGATTGCTTCTATGTCTTGACTAATCTAGTTTTGGGAGGAACACTTTCTTTCCATTGTGTACTGTTAAGAATCACTTGTCGAGTATCATAATAGGTGTTTCCACTTGATCATCCAACACATATGAGAGCTTGAGAGTTTGAATTTTTGGTACTCATCTAGCCTTGCATTTCTTCTTGTTAGTCATGCTTTCTTGAGGTTTTCCATTTTGTTGGAGTCTGTATTTGGAAGTGATTTCCTTGATTTGGAAGCATAACTTATGCCATTATTGTGATCCTTGAGATCTTCTTGGTGTGCATGATCTTTGCTCTTTTTGACAAGCATTTTCACACCTTTATTTTATCTATACATTTTGTGTAGTGCTTCAAGGTATTGTTCTCAAGTGTGAGAGAATCGAGACGCCTAATGGCTTTTGCAATTCTTGTATCCTTAACCAGTTCTTTGTGCTACCATACTGATCTATCTTTTTCTCTTCTTGAGATGGCCAATTCTTCTTCTATTTTACTAACATTCTTCCATAGTGTTTCTGCTTCTTCCTTGGATGATGTTAACTTCTTTTTCAATACATCATTTCCTCTTGAAAGCTTCTTATTTTGCATCTTTATTTTTCGATAGATTTTGGCCAACTTTGTGCATTTTGTTAGAATTATGTCATATGCTTCAATAACATAATCTAAATAAAAAAAAATATACTTAATTGTTAGAGTGTTCTTAGTGGTACTCAAGGTCGTTTACCTCCTCTTCAAAGTTGTCATTAATGATCTTAAGTTTGCCTAGAGTTGTACTGCTCTTTGTGGATGAATTTTTTTTAAGATGAAGGGACTGTTGAGACTGTACTCCTTACTTTCCATATCAAAGGATCATTTACTTGAGTCGTACTAAGAACTAACCCCACAAGGTTAGATTTGATACCAACTATAGTACTTGAAAAACACTAGAAGGGGGATTGAATAGTGTTAATGTTTGATACCTTCTAGATATAGCACTTTTGTCGAGCACGAGATTTTTCAAGTAGTTATTAAATGCTCGACAATTGGTTTTAAACAATAAATGTTTTTCAAGTGTTATGTCCAGTCTCCTTTATCCTTAAAGGGTACCACTATAATCTTCAAAAAGATTACAACTGAGTATTCTCACCACTCCTGGTATCCATAGGCACTCTAGGTATCCTCCGATATGCTGCCTAGTTGAGTTTCACCCGCTCTTGGTTGTGCAGTATTCTTCAACACTCCTGGTATCCCAAGTCAGTGAATATCTCCTATTACCCTAGACTGGTTGAGTTTCACCCACTCTTGGTTTCCCTATAGAGAATCCTGGTATCCTTTAATATGCTGCCTAGATTTTCTTAACTCGTTTGATTTATACAACAAGTGTTTTAATTCTCTTCAGAATGTTGAGTATTTAGTGACATTTAGTGTTTGTTCAGAACAACAAAGCGCTTTTTACATTTCCTATTGTTGAGCTAGCGTTTATCATTTAAGCTTTTCTCTAAGGTATCAAACGTTGAGTAAGAACTTCATTGTTCGACAAAGTGAGAGGTTTAGCTCATGGTATCATCTAGTCTATTGTAAATGCTTTTTGGGATATTTCCTTTTTAAAGCAAGAATGTTTAGCAAGTTTCATCTTCTATATGTTTTTGGATCTTTATTTAAGACTTTTAAAGGGTTTAGTCAAAGATGTTGTCTCGACATCTTTTCACTTCTTGAGAGTTCAACTGATTACCATTTGGTACAGTATAACTTATGTGTTTAGCATAGCTCTCATTGATGCTTTGACCTGAATGTCGTTTAGCGTTTCGTCTAGAAGCTTTAACCACTAGTGGAAAAATAGCATACTATGACGACCTATTATCATTGGTAAAATCCACCCATCATAATAGGTTGACCGGTGGCAGAATTGTAATAAAAGTTAGACATATTATGATGTAATTTTGTACATCAGTCATAATATGAAACACGGTGACAAACATGTAAATAAGTTTAAAACATATTATTATGTAGTTATGAACATCAGTCATAATATGAAACGCGGTGGCAAACTTGTAAATAAGGTTGAAATTTTTTTAATGTATTATGACTAATTTTAGAAACCAGTCATAATATCCCTATCTCTGATTTTCCCATTTCCCTTTTAGTCCCATTATCTCACATTCGCCCCTAATTTGTCTACCCTCACTCTCGTTCACTGT